AGAACCCCTGGAGTCTCCCCTCACCACCCTGTTGCCAGAGATTAAAATCTATTTTATGTTCCTTGATTGAGCGTACGGGGGAGGAGGACCCTCTTCAATCCCTTTCTGGGACACACAGGTGCTTTCCGAATAAAGTCACGAATTGATGCAAGCCAATCGAGTAGCTCAAACGACTGTTTGCTTTGAAGTGAAATGCGCCTTTCCCACTCCAATCGATCCAATATTTCGCATCATTAGATACACTATTCTGGGAGGGAGTGCTTGAGGACTAATTTTGCAATCGATAAGATAATGCCTAAATCTTCCCTTAAAACTGTACCAAGGGGTGAACTTGACTAGGCGTATTTAAATGCGTAAGAGGACTAACCAGAGGATTTGGAGAATCGATTGTTCTGTCGAAAGGGAGATATCGAGAATGTGATATTTTACGCTGGCATGGAATCATAGTAAGGAGCCTGCAGTTCAGAGTTTCATGCTAGCCTAGTGGTGGCCGGAGTGTGACACTCGAGACCTGAGAGCTACGTGTCCTGGTGCCATGTAGAGGAGCCGAAGGCACAAAATCCTCATTTTGGCGCAGTTTGAAGAGAGCTGTCCTTCTTACTCTCTATTAAAGTGGGATGCAGGGACGTCTTAAGACATGGGCCCCACCTCGTCCTATGGGAAGAGTCTCGTTTCGTTCTCTTAATAGGAGCATGATCCGGATCATTTGAATGGTCCCATGCATATTCTCAGGGAATTTCAAACTGCACGTCAACTGGCGAAACAGTATTATTTTTACATGTCCCTTGAAATTGATAGGCCTTATACCATGAACAATCATTCAACTCTTTAATCGAAACGTGGCCATCGGTCAAGCTGTTTGTGAGTCGTGCACGTTTTTTTGTTTCGAACTACCGTTTGTACTAGTATTTGACAATGTTATACATTGTTTGCTTTTAAAAATCACAGATAGGGCCTATTTTTGTATGAAAACCCAGGGCCTCAAAAAGTCTTAAAACGTCTTTGGTGGGATGTTAGTAAAGAATCAAGGGTGCGGCAGCCTAGTGGTTAGGATCAAGAACTCGAGGCCGGTGTGTCATGAGTTCGAGTCTTAGTTACACACAAGACCCACCGTTTGGAGTAGCTGATATAAATTAAATCTATTCTCCCGTTGGCGGGGTGTGGTATTTTGGAGAAGGGATGCCATCTCCGAGGTGCTGTTTTCCTCATTTCAACGAGGTTCAAAAACAGGAGCCCACGTATTGCTTTTTAGTGCGATGTTAAACCTTTACTCACTCAGATCAAATCAAAGCTTCCTCTAAACATACAACTTATAGCAAGGCTGATGCCAGTCACATTTTTGGGCTTATTGGTTGACATTTTTTTAACATTGCACTCCGATATAACACGTATGACCTGGTGTGGAAGTTTGGATATCAGGAGGGCTAGCTCAGACGTCGTCACGACACTTGACCGATATTCAAAATTGCGAGTTCTGTCGCCAATAGATCTCGTGCAGCTTCGAGTTGCGACTTTTATAACAAATATAATAAAATCGAAACACCCAGCATGTGGTGACGAACCTTCTGGTGTCGAGGATGACACTTGAACTGCACCTCTTTCTTGAACATCTCACAAAGTCGTTGAGGATTTGGAGCTTCTATATTAACATGCCTCAAAACTCTCTAGACGACGGATCCTTAAAGATATCAGGTTTGGGATCAACGATTGTGAAGTAAGCCATGAATTTCCTATCATAATCACCCAATCGTATTGGGTACAAAGTGTTCTAATTGGCATAATAGGGGCAGTTGGAGAATTGGGGGTCCTTAGATGCCTCGATCGTAATTCAAAGGAATCTGTTGCCTCTGCATATGTGTTAATTCTATGAGAAAAAATAGATACAGTATAACCTGTTTTTGTATGATCTTTTTTGTGAGATTTTTTTTTGTGTCATTTTTTTTTATGCAGTATATGAATTTGAGTGACTTTGGCGCCCCTCTGTAATGTTTTCCATCAATGTTCATACACTTCAAGACGCTGTGTTTCATTAGTTATGTACGGTCTCTCGATGATGCACTTTCACAGTTGCTTTCTCTTAACGCGCTTGATTGAAGACGAAACTTTCAATGACACACAGTGACATTATCAAAAGTTTTATAGATTATTAAGACGGACATGAAGAACCGAATTCTTAGAGAGCGCATATAATATATTCGGGGATCCAAGTTTCCAAAAAATCGGAAAAGAATTTTCTTAAAATATAGATACCAATTCCGAAAGGAGTTTGAAATTCTAAAAAGAGCTTCGATTATTCATATCTGGTTATCGTGACGTTTAAAAGCAACTGACTAACCGATCGTTGTCACAAAAACACTTATCCTTTACTTTATGGTGCCAAAAAATAAATCAATTGCAATTGTATCTTCAAGTGGCGAAAACGATTTTTAACGAGTTCATCACAGAGAGATATACGCTTTATATTACGATGAGTAGCAAAATGCCTATACTTACGGATGTGCATTTTGAAAACTTTTCAATACATACAATGAGAAATTAAATGTTTTAAAAATGTGTTTCATGTACAATTTAATTATTTATTTTGTTATGGAAGTACTTTGTCATAAATTTCGTAAATAATTGACGTATTTTATAAGTGCGACTTTTTTGCGGTCCCTCTCCGCCGCATAAAAAAACATTGTTGTAGTATGTTGACAAAGTTGTTTGTCATATGTCAGTATTTGTAAAATATATTTTCGAATTTTTTTGTGCGGTTTCTATTTACCGCACAAAAGCAGGGCTGCGGTAGCCCAGTGGTCATGGAATCGGATCATGGTAGGCATGTCATGAGTTCGAGCCCAGTATCAGTAAAGACTCGCCATGTAGGGCAGCGATACACGTTAAATCTGTCGAGAGCTGAAACGTCCTCCCGTGGGTGTGGTAGTTAGGAGAGGGGGTGCCATCTCAGGTGTCGTCCACGTCACTTGATCATGGTTCGAAATTACATGGTCCGTCGCCAAAAGCCCTCGTGTAGCTGAATAGTGCGACGTTAATATTTACTCACTCACTCACCGCATAAAAGCAGGTTTTACTGCATAATGTGTACGTCGTAGTAAAAACAGACAAAGAATAAAATATTGCCTCAATATATTTTTGCTTTGCTCATTACTATGGGTATGTACTTAGTAAGAAGTAAATCATGTCTATTTTTTTTAAAATGCTATGCTTACTCGGTGTTTAATCTGCATATTATCCTGCAGCAACCGTTCCATTGCGAGATTGAGGAGAAGGTGGGCATCCCTTGCCTGACATCCGGGACGATCATCTGCCGGATTCGGCTGGACAGGGGCGGTTACGTGCCCGGGGAGAACATCTGCATCTTCGCCGCCATCGAGAACAGCAGCAAAGTGACTATCAAGAGGACGAGGGCGACGTTGACGGAGGTAGAGTGATCTTTGCACAAAATATCGATAGGAATGCATTTTTACTTATGCTTTGTTTTTCACAGTGCATTGTTACAAATACTTATTTCAAGAGTACATCAAAATAAATTTAGTCATCCTTCATTTCCTTGTATAAAGAAATATGTATTTGAAATTTTGAACTATTATAGGAAAGGCTTTCCCACGATTTTAAAATCTGTTTTAATTATTCTTATTTCACGGTGTAAAAAAAATTTTTTTTTGCGCAACTGCATTCCAAAAATGCTTATTTCCGGAAAAGTATTTGAATTGAAAGTCAGTGTGATCGAAATAATTATAGAAAATAATAGACCGTTTTAAATGACGCAGTGACCTATCAGAAACCTGCAAAATCCACGTCTCTATCACAATTTCTCTCATAAATGTCATCATTGATTTGGGGTTTAATGGGCGGAAATTTATACTTTTATTACGTAAGGCGTGTCCTATTTTCACAAATACGCACCGGGAAATTAGCAGTGTCTAACCTAAACGCCTTAAAAGCTGGCTAATAGGGTGCACAATTTTATATGGGACGAGGGTTATCATTATTTCCAAGGAACTACAGGAAAGAAAAATTTAATAACCTTTAGGAATAAATTGAATCTCCTCTCTTAGTCATCGAAAAATTTGACAAATATCGCCTTAGCTCAGAAACATTAATTTGTGAGCATGCGAATTTGATCAAAGAATGTGCTATCGTCACGTCATGTTTATCCTCAGAATGATTAAAAAATTTGTTTTGGTATTCTTAAGTATAAATTAGAGTAAATTTCGGATAATTATCCTTTCGTATAGTTAATAAACATTTCACATATACAGTTTACACAATAGGCTTTATCGGTTTTCTATAGATTACCTAGATATTTAATGAAATAACTGATAAGTAACTAGATAAAAATGTAATAGATATAATTTCGCACATTACCTATGAAATAAGTTTTTCAGTTAATTAATGATAGACCGTTTAAGTGATAAACAAACAATAGGTACACCTTGCTTTTTTATAAATTAGCTGATATAGTTATATATATTCTATTGGAAAATACATTGCATAGTAAGGATATATGAAGGGATAAAGAAAAATGGATTATATAATACAATATTGATAGTTAAGCAACAACAATAATAAACAGAATACAATTTGGCGATAGATACATTTGAATTCTTAAAAATTCTATGCATAATCTTGTACTTAATCCTGCTGGCAAAAAAAAGAACACTTTTTTAATATTTTTACTTTTAAGCAATCGTTATTGTGTAAAACAAGTAATATATAAAAGCAAATTTTAAGTCAATTCCTACTTAGGTCAACAAAGAAAAATTCTATTTTAGTTACTTTTTATTAAATTTTGTTACAATTAATATAAAAATATTTTTATACATATGACAGGATCACACTGTTAAGTGACAAAATAAAAAGCGATTTTCCATTTTCCTTTCTACATAGCATGTTCGACTATTATTTTTTGTTTTGTTACTATTTTTCTTCATTAATTGAATTTCATTATTCCAGTAAAATAGTATAGTAAAAAGAAGTCGCATTCTCAGAAATTAGGCTTTTCCACGTGGATTCGAACCCACAACCTTTGGATGAGAATTCCAACGCGCTATCCATTACGCCACCGGGACACAACAACGGTTTTCATTTCTATATGTGCTTTGGTTTACTATTTTTGTTTGTTACTATTTAATCATTTTTTGTTCAATTAATGAATTAATATTTGAAAATACTGTATTAGCATCAAGTGTCATGCATTACGAGTTTAAAAAAATTATTTGAACTTGAATGGATGAATAGAAAATATTTTACTAACGATTGAAAACTTGAACAAGATATATATATATATATATATATATATATATATATATATATATATAGTGAGAGAGTGAACTAATAGTAGGAAAATTGAATATAGCCAGTTAAATAATAGAATTCAATAGTTTTGTGTTTTTCAAATGACCATGAAATGCTTAATTATCTTACGAAATAACAGATTTTAATTTATATATTGGAGTGACTGTACAATCCATTAAACTGAATCTATAGACCTCCATTCTCAAAAAGTAATTTCATATCTCATGGATAAAGTATTTCAGGCTTACTCATTCCAAGAGAGCAAAACAACAAAAAGTACGGAACAAAACTTGGGAATCTTTCTTTGAGAAAATTCAATAAACCGGGGGCTTTGTTTTATATTGCGATTTGTAAGACATTTTAAAATATGATGGTATTTTAATAAATCATTCACATCTTATGTATATGTAGGTTCACGTCGTTTATTATTTATACAAACACCTATAGAAGTGCTCGGAGTATTTTTACTCACGGTATTTTATGAGCGGTGTAAAATATTCAAAGGAATAAGGTCTCCAGAGAAATGTAGCCTGACTGCTAAAAACAATTTCCTCTAGCCAAATACCGAAGATGGGGTGTGCTTTCTTGTAAATTCGTTAGAGAGATTCAAGTCGCGTTTTAGAAGAAATGACGCGATAAATATGAAAGAAAATCTGAGAGGAATTTAGAGTAAAAAAAAAAAAAAAGATTTGACAAAAGAGTTAAATTTTTTGTGCTTAAAAATTATGTTTTATGAATCGAAATTTCCTTCGAGTATCTCAGAGGAAAAAGTAGCGTAAAATACAAAGTGTGCAAAAAAAAAAAAAAAAAAAAAGATCTTTATTTAGAAGAAAAAAAAGCACCTTTACACAATAACCCTACAGTAACTTTTCCTTCAAAGTAAATCCTATGGCTATAGGGTAACCATCATGGTTGTCAACTAGAGTTGTTGAGTCGCTGATTCGAGTCTTAATGTTATTGAATATATGCTATGATGCACGTTAAATCTGTCGAGTCCTCGCGCATTGGTGTCGGCTCGGGTGTCAACGTCACTTGACCAAGGATCAAAATTACGAGGATAGCCCTAGTATTGCTTCGAAGCTAGATGTAAATTTGAAAATTAAATTGAAGGAATATATGTATGTATGTATGTATGTGTGTATGTGTGTGTGTATGTGTGTGTGTGTGTATCGATTTGCGGATTCAGATGAGATGATCTAAAACGCGACGAAACAGCTGAACGGCCTCTCCAAAAAGTCATTCCAGGAGTGTTTTGAGCAGTTATACGAACGATGGAACAAATGTGTGGTTGCAGGAGTGTGTGGGGATGTTTATATATTTATATATAATCTTGTTAAATCCTTAAGACTTAATTTTGTTTAAAATTAGGCAAAATATATTTCAACATGCCCCAATTTTTGAGGTGTTAAATTATATAACGGTGGCTACCTTTGCCGATTCAGAAATTTTAACAAGTCTTTTTTTTTGTTTTCCTGATGATGTTGATGATTTATTTGAGACAGTACTAATAAACAAAAGAATATCTCTAATACATGACACTTTTGTTTGTTTAGACGATTCAGTACACGGCGAAGAACAAGTTAGTGCAGACGACGAGCCGGGAGCTGGCATCCCTGCAGAAGGGACGTATTGCGTCTGGATCGGGGGACCAGTGGCAGAACGCTCTGCTCCACATTCCACCCCTGCCACCCACCAACCTCAGAGGTTGCCACTTGATACGAATACAGTACGATGTTTATGTGAGTATCCTTTTTTCAGTTTCATTTGTTGCCTCAACTTTCACGCGAATAGGACGATGATCACACAATGTGTGTGATTTAGAACAAAAATTCTGCATATGTGTGTTAAAAACAAAGATCCAGTGGCGTAACCTACATCCTCACAACAACCGCATCACGGGGGTCCGAGGATTCTGAGAGCCTAAAGTCCCTGGAAAGATTGATGCCAAGACGGTGCCCTTGTAAGATACGACTTGGGGCCGTAGACCTAACTTTGTAGGGGGAATAGTGTCCTAATCTTCTTTGTTACGCCACTGTTAAGATCTGTTACTTGGCAGATTATTTTTCGTAGATTATTAGGATTGGTAGATTATTTAACCTCGCAATTGACAGGTAAGTTCTTTCGAAGTAAATGATTACCTACTTTGGAACTCTTCTCGAATTACGGCAGATTTTTTTCTAAGAGGAACACCTATAAATCGGCATTACACACAAATGCAGAAAACAGCAATTGTCACCCGTAATCACAATTTCATACAAGGCAAATGGCAGAGAACCTGAATTCACGTTAGAGTGAGGGCAATGGAAGAAAGAGACATATCTAAAACTTGACAACTTTATTCAATTCCGTTCCACATTTAATATGGTCGCAAATAGCGATTGCAAGCGAGTTATCCTTAAATATTATTAATACTTATACTCATTTAACAAAAATGTATGAAAATATAGACGCACAAATTATTTTCTCTGAATAACGATAACCAAGCTTCAATTCTTATGCCCGGATACGATAAAAAATATAACTTTTACAAATATCATTCAAACTAACTTCAACACACCTCACTGTTATCCTCTTCCTCGAAGGATTCACTTAAACAACAACTTTCATTTACGTAAGCCGCGATTCCTTTACAGAAAAGGATTCTCACACAAATCAAACAATCCATTCAATCTATTTCCCCTTTACGATTAGCAGAAGGATCCGTTACGAAATAAAAGGCATAAAAACTTATAAATGTGTTGACTTCAATGTTGCTTCCCTACATCATCCTTATTCTGGTGGATTCTCTATCACACCGACAAACTTTTAGGGGGTCGGTTTAAACTCCTTTCGGGCCCTGGGTGCAGATGATCTATCAGCCCCCTCAGCAATGTCAGATCCAAGAAGGGGCTCTTGGATCCGGCTAAATCCAGTTTATCTGAGCTCTACCGAGACCCTGGGCGCACGCCCCAAGCGCTCAATGTATACACCTGCACTGTACGGGGTAGAGAGTTGGCTCAGAATCACATAAGAGAATGCAGGGTCGTAACTTCCGTAATTGTGAGATATGGTGCAAAGAAGCAGAGAAAAAGAACAGAAACAGCATCCCATGAATGGAGTAGAAAACATTTTATTAAAAAGTGTTCGAAGTTAAGACCAGAAGTCGGGTGGCAGGTTTGAAATGGGCGCTTACGTTCTGGAAGATTCCTCCGAGCAGTCTTGCGGTAGATGGCGCAGAACGGAAGGCTTCGTGAAAACAGATCCTGCTGTCATTTGCATCCCGAGGTAATAGGATGTATGCAAAAGAGGTCGACTAACGGATCGTGTATGGAGCTGCGGATTCTAATGGGTTTAGCGGTTGTACCATGAACATTACCCCAACGAGCGTGTTCCACATTACGCGATTTTTGCAAGCGCGAATAGTAGGTGACATGAATAGTTTGGTGTACGAGAGACGCTCGTTCCTTCAGTTGAAGATCTCCAATATCTGTTGCTGCCAAGAGGATACGTGGCATGCCAGGAATCATCGAGAACGTAAGGAATTTTAAGCAGTGCCTCTTTCAGGCCTCATAAACAACTTCTGGTCATAATTTCAAAAACCTGTTGTACTACAACCTTTCAATGAAATGTTTTCTGTCCCATTAATCTGTGTTTCTGTTCTTTTTCTCTGCTTCCTTGCACCATATCTCGCAACTACAGCATTTGCGACCCTGCATTCCTATGTGATTCTAAGTCATCTCTGTACCCCCTACACACCCTACAAGTGTGTCTGTCTGGTAGAAAATCCCTTTGTATAGGCAGTGACAGAAGCCATTCTAGAGAAAATTCAGTGATATTTGGCCTAATTATTATCCTAGACTCTTAAAAATTCTTCTCGGAGGAACTAATTTTGTCCCCGAATTAGATTTGTCGCCAAAGTTACCCTTAACCGCATAATATTTATGAAAAAAAATTCTCCTGGTTCATGCACGATCTTTCCATACACAATATCGTTCCGAAGGGAAACAATCAAAATTCAAATACTATATAGCAATACATGTAACAAACATACATGAATTATTGTTTATGGGATTTTAAGCGCACAACAATGAAAAAGGGAAATATTCTTAAAAACTTTCATATCTATCATCACTGCTCTATAAAAGTTGCTCAAAATGGTTTAAAGGAAATGAGTTTTTGAGAGATACAAAAAGTTAATTAACTTAGTTAACTACTTTCAATTGTTTTTCATAATATCAACATAGATGTTTTTTGCTCATCTCATTTCTCATGAAATATTCAACAGGTTTCAAATTTAGAAAAATTTTGCCCGAATATCTTTTTGAATTACCTGGGTTTTTAAAATCAGTCTGCTTTTTAGTGCTGATTGAAAATCGAGCCCTATCAGTCGGGGACATTTGATGATACAAAAATGTCCTACTCAATCTTTCTGAAAGCTTTCTATGTCAGTGCTTATATTCCTTCCAATATTAAAAGTACTTTAAAAATATTCAAAAATATTGTCTCGAAGGATATGGACTATTAAATACAGCTAAGAAAAATTTAAATGTAAAATACCAAATGCCTAAAAACATTTGGATCCCTCATGTCGTACAATCTCTGAATACAAAATTGCATTCGATCCCCTCAGCATGGAAATATTCGGATTCTTATCAGACGATGTTTGAAATAAAAATTAGATGAAACTGGTATCAAATGTAGAAACGAAATTAAATTTTTAAGCTAGAAAATTAATTAAAAATTATATTATAACTCATCCAAGCGAATTAATGTAGTATTTACCCCTTACAGTAT